GGCAGATCTAGCTCCATATTTCCTCCACTTGTCAGCAGAAATTAGGTCAGGAGTTGAAACAAGTGCTTTTGGGAGGGTGGTGCTTTGGTTTTGCTTCTCGCGGTGATGTAGAGATGCAAAACATGAGAGGGGACTGAAGTCTGACGAGATGAAATGAGCCGAAGCAGAAATAAAGAGTCCAACAGCGGATCGAGTCTGAGAAGTCTTAAAGAATGACGACACAGGAGGTAGTCAAGGGGGAAACACGCTACCATCTCTTAGATGTGTTTTCCAAACGCCGGCTGTTATCTTGCTCCGCGATGCTTTGGCTGTTTAACCGGTGTGATTTATCTGTCTGAGCAGGAGTTTGGAGGGAGCCTGAGACATTTAGGATGGGAGCCTGCAGAGGGGTCACGCTCATGTTCATAACCTTTCCAGGGGGCATCATAAGTAGATCCCTTTGGCTCTTTGATTTTTGTTTTTCACTTTAAGCAAAGGTCAAACATCAGAAAGCTGTCAAACATTTCTGTGAATTAACGTCTACTTGGCGTGTGTGATGGTCACAGTAGGCATTTATGTCAGAGGGACAAAGCTAGGTTAAAGGCTCCGTTTAATCAAAAAGGTGCAACAAATTCTACTGAAAAGTTAAGAAAGTAAAGAAAAACAAAGAAAAGAGCGAAGGGAGAATGAGTTTTATGGTCTGTAATAACCGGGCAGAACTTTATTAGACACTTAAGCATGTGCGACCTGCCTTTTCACAGCAGGATATTAAATGGTCGTGACTGTGGAGTAAGAGTTGTGGTCTTCCTGCATCCACTCACACGGCGTCCTCGCCTCTCTTCAACCTCAACACAAGTGATCGCTCTCCTCAAGGGAGCCGTAAATTAACCAGCTGCTACATTTGGACCAACTTCCACATTATCTGCAGCTCACACTCCAGTCTGTTTATGTGCTTTACATTCGCACGTGCGTGTGTGTGTTGCTGCGTGTGTGTGTGTGTGTGTGTGTGTGATACATTTACACACGTTTCTCTAAACACATGTGGATGGGTTTGGCTGATTAGAAACACCCTAGGGGTGTCGGTAAAAGTCACCTGTAGTTTCCATGGTTACGGAGCGGAGTCTTTCTGCAGCACGTACCTCTGAGGATGTAGTTCTGGTAGTTCTGATCTGCTTCAGCTCCCACTTTTATCAGACACGTCAGTCCTTCAGCCACCACAAACTCGTGCACCAAATCTTTGTCGTCCTGAAACAAAAAGCCAGAGATGTCAACTAAAGCTCGGCTCACCCAGCAGGATTTTAGAATTATCGGCTGATTCTCAAAGCACGAGGGCAAGTGGTGATAAAACATCCTAGATGCATCAGGTGTGTGTGTGCAACAACGTGGTAAATGCTACACTTGAGCTGTGTTCACTCTGCCCACTCAGAGAGGGAACCCTTCTGAAATAAAATGTGACTTTGGAATGAAAAACAAAGCCGATGGTGAAAAATCGAATAAATGCACTTTGGCCTCAGAGATACAAAAATGTTTTGGTTATTTTAAAATACTTTTTATTCTTACAACTTGATGTGGCTGCTGCTGCAAACAGATGATACTTGATCATTAATGAATTTAACCACTTCTTTGTAAATGTTGGGACAAATTTGGTACGTAGCAAAGCAACAACCGAAGGTACGTAGAATACAACAAAAGGTGTCAAAACACTGAAATACTGCGAAAAGCTGTGGAACCAAATAAAATAATGACGTATTTGTCGCCTGATTGCGAGGAAAGCAGCATCTACACTTCTTTCTGAGTCATCCCAGCTGCTGCAGAGGCCGTGAGTTAGCTCAGTGCTGGCCTCGCAGATTTGTCCCACATATTTCCACTGATGATGAAACCACCTGTGTCTCGCACCTGTCGACGGCTGTGTAATTTAAGACCCAGCACCAGGTTTTCTGTAGGATTCAACATTTTCTTTTACATTCTACTGTTCAGACGGGATCAGTAGGAAGGCAGCAATAAACACTGTGGGGTGGTCAGGGCTTGGCTTGTCCCAGGAGAAAGTCTAAGTGCTTCCAGAACATCTTTACCATACATCAGTGATGGAGACTGCAGTCATTTGGCAGAGACTCTAAATATACACAGATTGAGCTTTGAAACTTATGCACATAATTTCTGCAACGGCGAGATGACTAGACAAAAACTATCAATGGTCTCGATTACTGATACCTTACAGAGACTCTCAGAGTGAAAGCATGGATCTACTTTGGGCATGCATCTGTGTCTTCAGCTGCAGCCGAAGGCAGACTTTCACCAGAAAAAAACCTCTGCCTTAGAAAAACAGTGCAGCGTCCAGGAGTGAGTGTGAGCTGATTGATGTTTTCACACCACATATATCTCCTGCATGTTATTATTTGGGCGTGAACTGCTGCAAAAATGACAAATGCAATAAAAAGTTCTCCAAACATCACCTGAAAAATCTGTTTGAGAGAAAACAGCGCTCTCCGTAGCTCCCGTCCCGTGGAGTTGTAAAGTTTCTCTGCAAGAGGAGAAAACAGAAGACAGCCACACATTTAGCATCTGATGTTACTACGGGTTCAAAATGATCCTGACTTCTCTTTGAATAATATGTATTTTGGTATATTAAATCACTTGTATCACACATGATTTTTCCATAAACTACAAATGTCTAGAAAATCACTTCCTTGTGCACACATCAGTGGAAGCAAAAATGTGAAACCTTTTCCACAAGAGGACCAAAAAAAGAGCAGAAAAGCAGTAGGAGCAGCTCAGAACACATCTGCAGAGAGTTACTGAACAGAGGATGCTTCCTGACTAATCTGTACTTCACCATAATGCAAAAATCACGGAGACGACTTCGAGCCATCGCCACCACGATGACTACGAAACAATCCATGGCTAGAAGAGAAAACGATAGATATGATAGCAGCTGTTTGTGATGAAGGCGAGTATTTCCTGCAGCTGCTGAGTGTGTGCAGTGTGCAGAATCTTCCAGCAGGAGGGAGTGTTGAGCACAAACAGAAGAGCTTACTCATCACTGCTGTGTGAACGCCCTCTGACTCAGCAAAACCAGAAGATGCAGCAAACGTGCAGCACAGAGGAGACTAAAGTGCAGTTGTGCAGGACACGCTCTGAAACGACACATTCCTCTTTCACGCTCACACACGTAAACATCAACGTGATGCTGCTGAGAAACAGACAGACACAAGGGCAACCTGCCCTCCCATGCAGGGCCCTAAGTAATCTGTAAAAAACACACTGATGGCTGAACACACTCGGGATCACAAATCAGCAGTCGCCAATTTATTACTGGGATTGGCCCCATCAGCTGTGGGGTAAATCCCTTCAGCTGATGGACTGGGTGTGTGGTGACTGCCATGAGTGGGAGACGCCCACACACAGGAGTCGAGTGACAATATAAGGTACAATGCATCTGCCACCTTTGTGCCCACTGAACCTCATTACCACCAGTGTGCGTGTGTGTGTGTGTGTGTGTGTGTGTGTGCGTGTGTGTGTGTGTGTGTGTGTGTGTGTGTGTGTGTGTGTGTGTGTGCGTGTGTGTGTGTGTGTGTGTGTGTGTGCGTGTGTGTGCGTGCGTGTGTGTGTGTGTGTGTGTGTGTGTGTGTCTGTGTGTGTGCGTGTGTGTGCGTGTGTGTGTGTGTGTGTGTGTGTGTGTGTGTCTGTGTGTGTGTGTGTGCGTGTGTGTGTGTGTGTGTGTGTGTGTGCGTGTGTGTGTGTGTGTGTGTGTGTGTGTGTGCGTGTGTGTGTGTGTGTGTGTGTGTGTGTGTGTCTGTGTGTGTGTGTGTGTGTGTGTGTGTGTGTGCGTGTGCGTGCGTGCGAATGACTGTTGTTAAGCTCCTTGGGGGTTTCCAGGACTCTGGAAGGTGCTTCATAAAAACAGAGCGCTTATTCAACATTGAACATGTTTTCCAGGTTACAGAACAACGCCAGCGTACCACGCTCCTGTGAAACGACAACATTTAGGCTTCCTGAACAGGTTGGGCAACACGACACTGGCTGACAGGGACAGTTGATTCAGTTCAGATAATCTGAGACAGGAGTTCTCCTCAAGCCAACATTTAATCCATCCATTTCAGCAAATGAGAATCCATCCATTACGGTGGCTTGCTGCACAGGTCTGCTTATGGCTGCATGAATGTGTGAGTGTGGTGTGCAAACAGAAACGAAGCAGAGATCAGCTAAGGACCGGTTCGCAGAGCAAATTATTGTAATTTTGTAGATTTTTGACCCAATTCTCTCCTGAAAGTCATGTACGATTGCCATAATTGCTCTAAAGTTAACCTTATGCATGCTCTGCTCAGAAGCACGTCAAGACCGCTCCGATCATCAATCAGGAATATTCAACATGTTGAATTGCCTCACCTTGATTTCTAGGGCAAACAAGCACGCTGTCTCTTGAACATGACAAGTAGCCAATCAGAAAGCAAGGTGATGATAGCATGATGCATTAAGTGAGGGGACTCCAAATCCCCTGCCACCATGTTTGTTTACTCTGAAGTCATGTTTGATCTCAAGAGGTTTTACAAGATTTCCCATCTAACTTAGGAAGGTCCATAAAATCTGTTTGTGTGTGCTGCGATCGTTGCCGTGTGGCCGGATCCCACACACTGTTGAACCAAAATAGTAAAATCTGTGATATTTTGGGTTCTCTAATGTTTACAAAATCGTCCAACAGTTTGTAAAACACACAGCAATTTTAGATTTTCAAACAACCCCTAAATACTGTGCAACAGCTGAACCTTCACACTCACTGAAATCCAGGCAACATGTAATATTATACAATCAAAACACACAGCAACAAGACTAATTAAAATTATCACAAGAAACAAAACAAAACAATTATTTGGCGTGAGCTGTTTGAGTTATGGTGTGTCTCGTTCAATTTAAAGGCGTAGAATACTTCTTTGATCATTACATTTGCAATGGTGTCTGGTTGGAATGAATGCCTTGCAGTCCGTACTCGGGGCAGAAAAACCCAGAAGCACCTGGATCAGCACGGACAACTCTGCTGCAGCAGACAGTGGCACAACACGACAGGATTTGGAGTCCTACTTCCTGATATTTAGACATCTTGCCCCTGAATGCATAGTGACTCTACCGCTGACTCTGCTCTGCAACACTGATGTTTTATCTTCTCAAATAACACAAGCCTGTAGAAGCTTCTGCTGTGTGGTTGAGTTGCTAATGCTAACAGTTAGCTTCTGTTAGCGAAAACATTCTCTGCTGAATCCTGGATGCTAACCAACAACAGTATTCCCCATAAAGAGTCAAGATGGGTGAGTCCATGAATGTTAGGAGACAGTGTGACGTAGATCTGGCAAGCTTTTCAAATCCTAGTTTCACCGTCGATTTTCTATCAGAAGCTAATGCAGGAGATAGGTGTAGGAGACTATTTTCATGTTCAGCCTGCATGAAAAACTCAGAGTGACCGATTATAATCAGAAATAATCATTAAAAAAAGGTTTTCAGTCAACCACACTTTCAAGTTTACAATGTGAAGACAGATGGATGGAGGATAAATCTCCTAAAATAAAACTAAATATTTGTAGGTTTTATAGTTTTTTCCCCCGTGTCCTGTCTGGCTGTGGAGCAAACAGAATTAACATCTGAATGCTGGTAACAAGCCTTACAGATTTACTCTCAGGTGGAGCATCAAAGCGTCTGCTTTTAATGTCACGCCTGATAACTTTATTGGTGTTGTTTTTGAATGCTTTGTAACTCCGACCAGACACGAAGTCAGAGGTGAAAGAGAAAGGAATAGACAAAATGAAAGGGGGGGGGGGGGGGGGGGGCAGGGGGGCGACAATCACACAATAATAAATCACAGTGCATTTGGTGCCAACCACAGCCTTAAGACCTGTGTTGAACGTGCCCAAGTCCATACTTATGTGAGCACCTGTGTGTGTACACGCGCTTGTTTATGTAAGGTTTCTCGATAGGAGCGTCCAACAGAGAGTGTGAGGGACCACAGATCTGCCCCCCAAAGATGTGTAGGAGATGGAAGGAGCTCCAAGTCTCGGAGATCCAGGAGCTGCCCCAGAGCACAGAGACCCCAGGGAGACTGTGACCAGAAAAGCCCCCGCCCCCCTTGAGAGGCGCAGAGGATCGTCCCGGGGGGCCACAACCAGCAGCCGGCAGAGTCCCGGGGAGAAATCAGCGGCAAGCCCACAGGCCCGCCCGCAGCCTCCCACCGCCAAGCCGGCCGAGCCCTGAGCCAAGTGACCTGGGGTGGCCAGCACCGCCAGGGACCCAACAGAGCCCAGGGACTCAGATCCCACCAGGCAGCCACCAGCTGAAAGATCCCCCTTCCAAATACCATTGAATGTGCTCACTCCCAAGGCCCTAAGTGTGTGTTTGCGTGGAATGTCGTTGGTGGAAGTGTTTAATGTGCAAATAAAATTGGGGGTCCAGCTGTCACAGGAATGAGGAAATTGGATCCATACCCGCACCCCCTGCCCAGCCCCAAAGGCCCTATGTGCACGTTTGTGTGATGATAGGGAGCAGGAGGAGGAAAATGTATGGGGATGGGGAGGAATGGCTGGTTGGCCTAAGCCTTCCAGGGAGTCAGCTCCCCCACTGGCCCCAATAGGTACCTCCATGGACGTAATTTGGGGGGGGGCATGTCCCCCCCATATCTAAAGTGAAAATTACGTCCATGGGTACCTCCATCCCCAAAATGCCACCCTGGGCATGAAGACCCCAGCCCATCTAGCCAGCATCCAAAGCAGCAGCATCGCAGAGCCTCACGGAGTCCAAGGGCACCAACGCAGCCCCACCCCAGCAGAATATCTACTCCCATCCCTGCATTTGTACAACTTCCATACATATGGACATCCAGGTAGGGCTGGGTCCTCCCTCTCCTGGACATCCCCCTACAGTTATTGTATTTATTTCTAAATTTTTGTAATGTTTTTATAACCTTACAATAACCTGAATCTATCTGTGTGGCGCCAATGGTCACAAGCTCCATGTTGGTTGGGGAAAAATCTGGTTGGTTCCCAAAGACACATCACCAGTAATATGGAACCATTTGGGAGCCAAAGGAGTCAGTGCTTCTCAGTAGTTATGGTTAGTTCAGCTGAAACAAAAGGAATTCCTGCCTATGGGACCTCTGGATGCACCAGATGTGTTACATGTTGGTGATATTCATGCTTGTAAATGCATGTTTACATTTAAACAGCCCATGCAATAGGAAACTGACAGTAGTATAAAATATTATAAAATAACGACGAACCCAGTTTGAAATCTAGCAGACTCATGCTGTTTTAAGATGACAGCAACCCAATTTACTGAAAACAGATTAAAAAGCTTCCTTTTACTGTTGTTCATTTAAAAAATTCTGTCTCACTCCAGCAGTTTCCTACCGCATGAACACGTCTAAGTGATGACGGTTTTTGCCACGAGTAAATCAGAGACTTAAACGTTTTCAGCTTTCTGTGCTGCTTGTGGCCCAGACTCCTGGTGTGTAGATGAGTGCTGCTCTTTTATGGGAAAGTC